TTTTTCAGTATTTTATGATTATTATCATAATCACAACCACTATTATTAAATTAATTCATACACAATATAAAAAAAACATCCTATAATGTTGTAGTGTATGGCATCGTTCGAAGCAGTCACCAATGTGTAGTCCTGGCTTACGGGTTCAAGTGTCACAAATATACCTTCTTTCCCGCCTGCTGCGTTGTACTTTACGGTTAGAACATAGCGCACAGTCTTTTTTCTTCCCATCATTTTGGCGTAAAATATGTAATTTACTATTTAGCCGCCGAAAATTTTTTCTCATCTCATCAATCAATTCCTGAACAAACTTTAGATGTGTCATCAGGTTTTTGTTTTGGTCACGTTGTGAAATTTTATATAATAAATATACACTAGAATTTCGAGCTCCCAGAAAAATAACTTTCGCCACCATTTTAAAGACTTCCCCAGGAAGCAGTATGATAGATATGATAGAATCAGGTATAAATTTTCGGTTGATTTGAGTAGTACCTGCCAAATGAACATTTACTTTTAACAATTCTTCTGCAAGTGGCAAGCTCGTATAGTATCTATCGGTGTAAAAATGATATCCTGTTCATCGTGGGTTATTGTCTAATAATTTTTGACACAGATATAACACTATCCTTGTGCTTACAGGTAAATCAGGTCTCACTAAATCTTCCGATGTCAAGCTTTCTCAGTACGGCAAAATTAAATAAACATATCATTACATAAATGCGTTGGCTTGTTAGGATTGTAAGTTAAAAAACTAATTTTACCCATAAATCCAACAACAGATTGGTCTACCGATATCTCTCTTGATGGAACAAAATGTTCTTTGAATTGCTTGTCCAAGTAATCTAAATAGTGACTGATTTTTTGAGTTCTAGCGCTAAGAGAGATGGTTTTCGTGCAAGTGGAGCATCTAAAAAATTTGTAAAAATAGTTCCCACTTAAATATGCTATTAAAAAAAGGTATTTTGGCTTTGGAACCAATACTCTTGGAAATTAGATAAAATTATCGTACCCATATTTAGGACAACCCAATAAATGCGGTAAACTCTTCTACTGTAGTATCTACCCACGTTTTGACAACTTCTTCTGTGCTATTTTATGTGTAGCGTAGTTATTTGTTTGTTAAACTATTTTTATTATTAGTTCATCGGTAAAAAAGAGCTTAAAAAATCTATGGAATTTGTGGTCCTACCATTTTGTCCCCAGAAGTAAATAGAACCCAGTCTGGTACCAAAATGGACCAAAATTAGCAGGTTGTGTTATATTTTCGTTTTCTTCACTGCTGCTTAAACTTTATGGTAAAGGTATTGTTCTCTGTATTTTGGTAACCATAAAATAACTGTCACTACTAGAATGATTAATATTATCACTAACCAATCTATCATTTTCAATATGAAATTTATCGTCACTACTTTGCAATTTATTTTGAATTTTATCTTGTAAAAATTTCTTGGACACTTGAAACATTTAACTTTAACCAATCGTGTTAGTTATAAAACTGAGTAATATTCAAAATGCAAAAATGGTGCACATGTGAACTGAAGTGGTTGAAATATATACATCAACAGATATAAAATAAACAGCTAACGATGGCATATATAACATAAATATCATGCTATCTTTTATTTTTACGTAAACTTGTCCTCGACGAAGGTTCAAGAAAACAATTTAGAAATATTAGAAATGAGCTTAGCGGATGACAGACCGGCAAACATGCTGTAATTATATGCCGCCTATATGACGACATACGAGTGCAAAGGGTTAAGTATCATTTTTTACTCTTCGAATCATGAAAGTAGATGTTAATCACGTATTAGTCCAACGTCGCGGAGACTCACCGTAGTCATCAAAACCACCCACCACCCCTGCTATGTATATATATCGAGATGTGTGAGACTCCTACAATAGTGAGTGTATCTGTTCTAATTTACTTTCCTGTTATGCGTTGTGGCCCCCAGGCCCCAGCCAATCGCACCACCGTGTTGGGTCTTATGATGGTATGGTAACGTTGGGGGATACTCATCAAGTATTGCCTGTGGTCCGACGATACTGGTCATAAGAAATATATCCTTTTTTAATCCTCTTTCCAATGTGAGAATTCCTCTGCTATCACTCTAAGGTATTTTACCGATTTTCAAAGCTATCCAGCAATGTAATAGTTTTTAGTACATGCAAGCAATTACGTCGTGCGTTGTTAGATCCGCGAGAGAGAAATTGTTTAAGTGTGCTATGCATGCATTTATTCCAATATGGTGGAAGTCAACAAATTATAGAAAGATCTCACTAAGGTTGCTTTACGCTAATCAGACGTTGCCAAGCGATAGAGTAAATAATACAATACAAGCAATCGGGACTAGCGAGAGTCAAGTCGATACTTAGTCGTTCCGTGTTTATGAGTGATTTTAACTTGTTAAAGTTGGTTTTTCGTACTCAATTGTATATCAATCTCTTCGTGAAAAAGTAACGCATCTTGTGAGCTAATTAGTTTTTTGTGAATCGGATAACAACGCCGTTATTCCGTAGCATAACAGAGAACTGAAACAAATAAACATTTTTTTGTGCCGTTTTTGCACGATGCCGTCGAAATGCGATATCTGTAGTAACGTTACAAAGCAAAATAGTCCATATATTCGACGTAAAGGTTGCACAAACGATTTTCACTTAACATGTGTTAAGTAGCCCAAAGCGATGAAGAAGCTGGATTACAGTTCTGGATACGCATGGAAACGCAAACATTGTACAGAACGTTCTACAAGTACATTCAAGAGGTTATTGTGAAGGTTAATTCACTCATGTCAAGTACGAGTGAATTAAAAGCCCTCTTTAAAGATTCCTTGGAATTTTTTGGGGGGAAAATTGATGACATTACTGCCCAGATGGAAACCGTTAAAAGGATGTCTCAGAAGACTAATAACTTGAAAGAGGAACTTGCATCATTTCAAGCTGAATGTAGTTCTTTGAGGTCAAAACTGGAGTGGATGAAGCAATAGGATGGAAATGTTAACTTGGAAATATGTGAGCTTCCGGAGGTAAAGGGTGAAAATGTTGGAGACATTATTAAAAACATTGGGGAGACCCTACAAATTTAACTTCAGGATAATGACATTATCCTCCAGTCACAGTCACACACTTTCCGGTTGTTGCCTCCAGAAACATGACTAAGAAAATTGTGGTTAAATTTCAGTGAATTTCGAAAAAAACCGAAGTCCCACGTGCAGCAAAGAAGCGCGATTTACAACCACTACTTAATACCTCAACATATGTTTACCCAGAAAAAACAAGATCTTCATTAACGAACATCTTTCTCCCTTCTACAAGCGCTTTCATAAGGCAACAAAAATGTTTGCCAAAGAAAAAAAATGCAACTGCTGCTGGGTGTTATCCATGTTGAAAATGAAAATGTTTTAGCGCACTTGAACTAGTTTTCTAGTTTACCAGAGGACTACGAACAAAATTAAATTATTTTTACTTGAGTGTTACCTTATCTGAGTTTGACTGCGTACGTATAACAGAATCCTGGCTTAACTCAGATATCCACAGTCCTTCGAGTTAGAAAGTTTTCCGACAGGACAGTAACGCCGTGGTTAGTGGTGAAAAGGATGGTGATGGTTTTTTGATAGGGGTACCGAATGTTTATCAAGTAGAAAAAGTGTTAAAGTACTGCAATAATGCTAATATCATTGAAGATCTCTTGTTCGCAATATTTACATTCCCCCACAGGCTACTAAACGTAAATAGCAAGTTCTTAATATAGGGGATTTTAACGAACCTAAACTAGGATTGGGATAATTTTATCCTATCGTTGTCGCCTTCGCGTGCTACAGAACCTCATACTACTCTTTTCTGTGACTATTTTTACTTGCTAGAACTCAGCAGCACAATAATATAAAAATAATAATAAGTTATTAGTAATATTTTGGTTACTGTAACTGAGAGTCACGATCCCCTACTATCAAAAAACACGCACCATTCTACCCTTGAAATAAACATTAGTCTTAAGGTCACTGAATATCTTAAATGTAAGTCCTATCCTAGGAAAATTTTCTTGCAGGCAAACTACAACTTTAATTATAATGGATTTAATGGAGCAGGATATGACTGTATTTTATTGTTATATATATGATCTGATAAATTAATTTGTACCAAATAAAACTATAAACAGGATATTTTCGAAACCAAAAAAATATTTAAAGACAAGTAAAATAACTGACTATAAAAAATATATTCCAAAAAGCGAAGAATATCTGAAAACGAATACAAAACATTTTTGGTCATTTCTTAATAATTAAAAAAATTCAAAATCTCCGCCTGGTAAAATAACTTACGACGGGGACAGCAAATGATTCTCAAAATATATCTGAACTTTTTGTGACTATTTTAGTAGAGTGTTGGAATCTATGGATACTCCGTCCTACAATGCATCAATTCCTACGAGCCAGTGTCATCCTATCTGGATTTTCGGAAAATTCTATTGAAAAAATATTGCTCAACTTTGATCCTAAAAAGGTCTCAGGGGCGGACGGTATACCGGTAAAGTTTCCCAAAAATTGATCACTTTTCAAAGCAGGAAAGTGACCCAGATAATCCACATTTTAAAATCTAGTGATTCTACAGACGAAGTTAATTATCGTCCCATGTCTCTTTTATGTCGCACTGCCAAGGTTTTTGAAGCTGCAATTTATCCACGGTTGCTCTTTCTGGTGTCCCTGAGGGATCTCATTTGGGTCCTTTACTCTATTTACAAGGAAAAATCATGAAAGCTGAAAAGAGTTAAGCAAGTAAAAGACTTGCGAATTGTTCTTGAGTCACAGTTAAATTTTGAGGCTCATATCGAGAGTATTGTCAAAAAATGTTTGAGAAATCTGGGCTTCATTTTAATAATTACCAAAGGGTTCAGGAAGCATCAGCATTAATAATTATGTTTTTCTAAACGGAATAGATATAGATATGTTTAATTATAGCCTTAATTTATTTAAAACAAACGTATATAATATTCTCTAGCTCGTAGTTATAATTTATTTAAATCTAACTTTAGATTTCATCGAACAGATAAGAAATGTATTGCTCACTTTCCCGATTTTGTTAAATAGTATAAGCCTACATTGTGCCATTCTGTTATTGGGTGCTGAGTCTGCCTGTTGGATGGTCTGTGAAATAAAAATAAATAAATAAATTAACACTATTAAAAGTTTGCACTGTTAACGCTAGTTTTAGAATTGACTTCCTTCAAAATGAAGAATAGCAATTTATTCAGCAATTAATATTAGTTGTTGAATCAAGAAAAAGTGTGAGATTCGTATTAAAAGTGCTTTTTTATATACACCTAATGATGCGATATTCAATACGGAATATTAAAAGAATGAATTTTGATAGCCAATTGTCGCATCAAGATTCTTTGGTGTCCTTGCGTAGAGTCGGGTGCGTGACATTTTGACATTTCACCAGAACTCATTCTGATCCGTGAAGGTTGCACGTAAATTACATCTTTTCCTCTCATTCCGCTAATTTTCTACAATTTTTTGTTACCGTGGAACCATCCCCTAACCATTTATATTCTCAAGCATAGAGAAAAAGGGACGACATACAATTAAGAATCTTTACAGAGTACAAAGATTTCTTACGTTAACGATCTTACTTCCATCTCACAAATTGCCTATTTAACTTTATCTTATCCGCGGCAAAATGAGACCGTCAACGTTTTTCGTTTCCGGAAAACGGTTTAATAAATTACAGATCGTCGTTCTTCCTCGAAAGCTGCCGGTTGATATTTATTATCAACTTGGTGCTGTAAAATGCAAAAATTTAATGAACAGACCTTAGTTATCCTTAATAAAGGACGTAGTTTGCCCCGAGTAATTGATTGCCTAGTGTCTAATCTGCTTGTTAATTTAAGGATATATTTCCCAAGGGTTTAGTAATGAATAATTAATTGTTAAAATATGAAATCGTTCCGGATGATCTATTTATCATTAAGCTCCTCGTCGGAGACTAATGCTCTTTGTAGCATTAGAACATTGTTACCTCAAAATAATCTTTAGAATGTATTTTTTGTATATTTTTTAATTACTTGGAACTACTGTGAGAGGTAAGCGACCGTGCCAGAAAAACCTTTGAACCTATGTAGTCTCAAGGAATTATTAGAAATCAAACTTAAGTTCACATTATCTTAATTTTTCAAAGAAACTTCCGCGGGCTATTGTAATACTTTTTATAAAATTCTGGATTCCCCATGCCTCGGTTTTTATCAAGCGAAACGTTAGCTAGTTTGACTGAACAAAAACCGACGCAGGAGGAATTCACATTTTCTTATCTTGTCTGCGAGTTTAATATGCAGTAATAAATTATTTTTAAGGAAAATAACAAACCAACTGAGGAAAAATACGCCTGCATGCTTCTGTACCGTGATTATCAAAATTAATAACAATAATAATAATAATAATAATAATAATAATAATAATAACAATAATAATAATAATAACAATAATAATAATAATAACAATAATAATAACAATAATAATATTATTATTATTAATAATAAAAATAATAATAATATTAGTATTCTTTTTTATTATTCCAAATTATAGTATGTAGTTATATAAAGCTGTACAAAGGAATAATGGACCCTGACGCAGCTTCCTTCCCAAAGCAAGGTGCTGTTGAAGTCAACTAAACTTATAAAAAAGAAATAAGACATATTACAGCATTTAATATTCGCCTTAAATACCATAATTGAAGTTTACCTTATGTAGAGAACGATATAGAAGAAAAAGAAAGGAAAGAAGATAGGGCTACAGGAAATGAGAAAAAAGATATTGCTTTATTTAAGCAAAATTTTCATTAATTAGTGAACCATCAATAAAATGCAGTGTCAATAATTTTTATTCCGTGTGTCTTTTGAATGAGCCAATAGCTTGGGTAAAATCATTTATTTTATATTTATTATAAACGCAATCTTAATCTCAATATGAACAAAATCCAGAAATGATCAATATATTGTAGCTTAGTTTTTTGAGATAATGAATGATGTGTTATTTAAATTCTAAATTCACATCAATAATAGGACGTAAGTTTGTGCATGAATTTTTAAATGTTATCATTACAGATTAACAGGGCTACAGATTTGGATGGGTTCCTGCGATGGGGAAAACTGAGTATCGTCGGCGTAAAAATGATACCTACAATACTACAAGGGAATTTACGAAGTTAATTGTATATACACCATAAAGAACTGGACCGAGAATACTTCCTTAGGGATTCCTATTCTAACCTTAACTATATCTGACAGCTGTCGGTCAAAAAGGACAATCAAAACCAATATACCTTAAAATAGACATTAATTGATTTTGGATAATGAATCATGTGGGATTTAGTGCAATCAAGCATAACTAGAACCCTAGCACTATTCTCATCTGGTGCTTTTACTGCCATCATCCATAATATCAGTCAAAGTAGTCACGCAGCTGTAACCTTTTCTAAATCCAGATTGTCTACAGAGGAGGCTGATTGGTTGTTAGATGTGGAAGAATTTGAGATTCCATTACTTGAAATCAGGTTTGGGCACAAATAAACCCAGACTAATAAGAAAAATACAACCACAAAAACATAAAAATTTGGAAAATGCATATAAACACAAAAACAAAAAAAGGAGAGGAAACCAATGAGGAGCAAAAAATACTATAAAAATAGATAACAAAAACATGTAAACAAAAAAATAGTAATTTTAGGTGATAACAGATGGTTGCGGATGGTCTGCACCAATTTACTACTTGAATTTGGTAGATCTGAAATTGAGCTCTTTGCGGCTTTAATCAAATTCGGTGTTGGACATGAACGTTCGCCATTCGGTACCCTTCTACGTTTTCCGTCTTAATTCTGAGCCGTGTCCACCTGTTTATGAGGGTCAACGTCTGCATCCGAGTCCACGGTTTTTGATCTTGTTGTGCCGGAGTAGGTGGAGCACTATTTGATGTTATAACTTCTGCTATGTTCTCTCAATTTAAAATGTCACTCTGTGCATAGATTAATTGCTGAGGATTATAAGTTTCTCCATTTATGACCATCCTGTTTTTACTAATTATTTTTGCTCTTAGCTAGTTTCAAATGTTCAAGTAGAATTGTTCTTTCCTTCTGGTCTTGAAATCATATTCCTCAGTTATAAAAACTTTTCTTCCTTTCAACTTATAAGCGTTTTTTCATATTGTTTGTTTTTTGAAGTATTGTTCCAATTCTACTTTAATCGACTTTTGTTTTGAATTTGCATTTTTTATGTGATATATGTCCTTTATATCGAAATTTTGAATGAAATAAACATATTTTTAAAAAATTGACAACCTTTAAAACTTTTTCAGTCATGACTATGTATGGTCTGATTTTCCCGTCGAAGAATGGTACCGCCTAATTATGTGATAAAACATCCTCAGTAAAACGATATTTACAAATCAATCAATCATTATTTAAATTAAAATTACTTTAAATTTAAATTAAATCACTATTTTATTCAAAGAACAAGGTAAAAATGGATGGAGCTAATATTAAGCATTAACTACGAATTCGAACATGTTCTCATAGTGTTAATAAAATATCTCGTATTTCTTAATAACCGGCTTGAGGCTTATTTAAGTTTAAAAGCTTCCCGTTCCTAGTGTACATATCATCTACAAACAGAAAATACCACTTCCGGTTAGGCCAAAGTTTTGTAAAACTTTGTACCTACAAGGCAAATTTATATTGATGAGTAATAAAATTACGCCGGGATGAGTAATTTCAAATTAAGAAGCTTATCCCTAAGTGGAATGTAAATTATTCATCAAAGCATCCGCTAACAAGCCTAACTTCTTGCTCATTTCGTCTGAAGCTTTTCAGATGCAAATTAGAATCCGGGTTGCTATTTCGTTTTAAAGCGTTGGGTGGGCTCGTCTTCCATTATTGCAAGTATTTTTTGATGTGGAGTGCGAGAAATGAAAACAATTCGAAGCGATGGCTCGATATTAAAGATATCGAAATTAAAATTGAAATGAACAAGAAGAAATAGCACCGTATGTTTTCAATTTTCAACTGAAAAGGTGGAAGGAAGTTGCGAGAGGAACTTCTACTTCTACTACACTTTCTTTATCGAGATTGGGATTAAAAATTTCAAATCGAAGGGGAATTTCTTATAGTATCCGAAATTCTCAGCTAGCTATAAAACAAAATAACTTCAAAATATTAGAAGTTGTTCTCAAATGAACATAAAATAATAAACACAGACAAATTTTATAATCACCATCAATTGGAACCACCTACCGTTACTTTATTTATGAGAAGTCTGTTGCAATTTATGCAACAACTTCGATAAACGGCAATATAGTTACGAATTTGATGAGTGTTTAATAAATCATTAATTTTTAGGTACATGTGTGCAAAACATCATAACTACGGGGCGTGACGATCAAAACTAATAAAACTGGCCGGCAAAATCTACTGAAGACATCTGGTCAATGTCCAGGAAACATCCAAATTGGCTGACGACTGTGGTTAATGAAACCGATGTCTTAAAGTGTCTTAATAATTTTAACTTGTTAAAAACATTTCCTAAGTTATTCAATCAGAAAAAGGGGCATTATGACTTTTTTAACGAGATCTGGGCACATGTTGAGAAAATATTGTCTCCACTTATCTAGTTGAGGTGAGGTGACGGTTTTCGCAAGTTTGTAGTTGTGTATTTTGGAGTAGGCAGTGGTCAAATAAAATGGAACATCCTTGTGACTTAAATTCGTTTAATCATTCAGTTTGAAATATTTTATACGTTGTACATAGTGTCGCATCCAATCCCAAAATTTTCTTTGCTGGGAGCAGTATTTAACATATTCGTAATATGATCTACATTTTAAAATAACCACTTAATACAAGAGTCACTAAAGAAATTAAAAGAATAATTTTAAAAATATGTGAACACTTCTGGTTGAATGGCTGCGTCAACAAACAAAACTGCCGCATTTGGAGCGAAGCTAATCCTCAAGTGTATGTCGAAACACTGTTACATCCAGAAAAACTAACTGTTTGGTGTGCTTTATGGGCTGGTGGAATCATTGGTGCGTACTTCTTCAAAAACGATGTTGGCCAGAACGTTACAATCAATGGAGATCGGTATAGAGCTATGATTACTAAC